GATGACAGTCGGGACTGTCATTTCCTGTGTTTTCCTGTGTTTTCTTGTGTTGTGTACTCTCTCTCTGTGTAGGGGGCGTGGCACATCTCTCTGACTCTGCCGGACTAATCGCCGTGGCACACCTGCCGTTCCTCAGCACCTGCCACCAATCAGCCTATCAGTCCGACAGCATAAGAGCCCTGGCATTCCTCCCACTAGTCGTCAGATCGTCTGTTCTGCTGCAGTGGAGACGAACACTGATTTCGATTTGACTATAATTCTTGTGATTACTTTGGAAGTGCGCTTGAAAAATAAATCCTTGTGTTTCTCCTTACGTTGTCTGAGCCTGCATTTGGGTCATCTCAAGGTTAATCATGACAAATATAGTAGATAGTCAATAAATGGCGCATGGATTTATTTTTATTTTCAACTCCAGTGCTAGCAGCAAAACAACAGTTTAGTCTAAATAACTAAAGCCTGTCTAGTAGTAGAAGTGGTAGTAGTGGCATGTTTGTTTATTGGGAAACAAACACACCAGTGTTGTCTGTTCAACCTAAGTGTAAGTACACGGTACCCATGATCCCCAACTGGCCAAGGTCTATACAAGTTGGGACAAATGGCATGGCTTAAGTGGCACGGAAATCTAAGCTCAGAAGCAATCAGTACATTTTTTTTTATCTAGAAAAAATTCCCCAACCCCTACCACCACTTCAGTCCCAGTGGCTGGAGTTACAGTCACTTTAAGTCCTACTTATTGACATCTGTCACTCTCAATCAATAATTAAAAAATATTAAAAAAAAAAAAAACACATTAAGACAGCAAACGCCTGTCGCCTGTCAGTGGAGAGAGGTTCCTCCAGGTCATGAATCAACTGTATGAAGGATGTGCGTCATTGGTATTAAACAACCCCGGGGTGAGATTTGACAATTATTTTTTCTAGCAAAACCTTCAAGTGAAGCTTTAATATAAATGCCAAAAAAAAAAAAAAAATGGCATCAGACTAAAGGAATCCTTTTTTTCTTCACTTTAACTGTAATATTTCTCTGTGTTTCAGTGAGTTTGTAACTTTTAAGACTTTCTTGTGTCTGAGCCTTTGTCAGAGTTCAGTAGCTTCAGAGGGTGGAACTCTCAGGATTATCAGATCAAGTCGTCAAACAACATTAATAGCCATGTAAATAAACTCTCCTTTCTTCTCACTTGTTCCGTCTGTGTACTTTACTTTCTGGCCACAATACCTAAAATAAACAGCTTGGCGCATGCTCCAGCTTTGCTCGGGATTTGTGATTTATCTGTGTATAAACTTTTGGCCCTACTCGAAAGTAGTAAACAAGGAGAAATTTTAGTCTGGTTGTCAGCCAAGGCAAATGGTTGTAATATGATAACAGGCCTATTTCCTGTAGTTAACATTTTTATTTAACATTAGCCCTTATTCTTAGCTAGCAACTGGCAAAAGGCTCTGGCTCACGTTCGACTCTCTTAACCTCTGCTTCCACCATCTGACCAGATGTGGCTCCCCTTAAGCAAATTATTAGTGGTTCCTAGTACACACAGGTTCTCTACTAAGTGTTTCCAGTTCAGATTTGGCAGAACACAGAGGAGGCATTCGAAAGAAGCAACATCATATTTTCCCCTCAGCATAAGCCATGGCAACTAATACTTTATTCTAACAGAAAAAAATATCAAAATATCTATTTATCTCCTCTCATACTTTCTTTTACTTTAACGACGGAAGTCGATGGAGTGCTTTTCGACCACTAAAGGACATAAAAGTTTAGTTTTAGTTTAGTTTTAAAATTATAATTACAAAAGAGTGATTGATTTGTCATAGTTGTGAATATTCTTGTGTTATTGCCACTTGGTACTATATAAAGTTCTAGTTTAATGGCTATCAATTGTAAAACTAATTTTTCCCTTAACAAGTACTTTTGAGTATTTTTGTGTTATTACCATGTGGTACTATATTAAAGTTGTAGTTTAATATAGTACTTTATATATTTATATAATTCATTTATATAATAGTGAATATACATTGCCGCCATCACATTCCCTAATTTGGTGGTGACATAGAGTTATAAAAGTATTTCTACTTAGACAATAGTAGTACTCAGTACACAGCAGCACTTGAGCTGCAACTCTATATAAACATATTCTTGTTTCCAGCATGAACCAAGTATTTGGTCATTGATATCATTTTTTAAAATTCAGTCAAATAGCTGTATTGAGTACGCAGGAGAGACATTAGATGTTTTATCTAGATAGATTCAAACCTTTCCCAATTTCTTTAATGGAAGCTAATTTTTTTAATTAAATCCACAGCGATGGCGACAAAACACTATCCTCTATTTTGAACACATTTCTGGTTTCAATATTGAAACTTAGTAATGGAGGGGGAAAAACAGAGCACAGGCTAAGACGAACTGACATCTAATTGTTGCGCGGCTTTTTCCATTTCCTGGCGCTCCATCTGTGTCACAGTCATCAAAGAACACGCCGAATGTCTCATATTTTCCATTACTGCAGCCCTTATCTCCGGGGATCTCTTATTTTTGTGTTGTGATGTGCTCCATGTGACCTTTAATATAAAAACTAAGGACATTGTCTTTTAGTGAAATTCAGACACTGGCCATGCTTTGATTTGGAAAATGTCTGGGCTATATTTTCTTCCCCCTTTTTTTCACCTGTTTTGAGAGTTTGTGAATTTCTGTTGAGGAGACCAAGTTGGTCAACAGTCCAACTTGGATCCAGTCATTAAACCCAAACCTGACGAACCAACCTCTCTCCATATGGAGCTGGTCCATAGAGATGCAGTATTCATCTTTAGATGGGTTGGCACTTTGTGACTTATTACATTACTTTTGGCATCCATTATGGTTCCCATCAGGGAGGGAGAGACAAGAGGCCTCAGGATATGGACCGAAAGTCCTCAGGGCAGAGAGTTGGGGGGGGGAAGGGGGAGAACGGGGGAGAAGAAGTTCATTCCCACTTTTGGGTTTCTCTTCAGCTCCGATGTCAAAGTTCTTTGCTCATTTCAAACCTGAACACTTTTGACAGTCGCTGGTTTCTGGCTTTCATGTCTCATAGAACAGATTCAGAGAAATCCTGCAAGAGTTTTTTTTATATGAATAGTGTAACGTCACAGTAGCTGCGAAAATACTCAATAAGTCAATAAAAATAGTTCTTAACTGCTTCTCATTACAAGAAATATCGAACATTGCACAAAATACTTTAATATTTTAAACATTTCAGTGAAGCTCTGAAGTGACTAGTTTTTACAATTTGCAGGGAGCTGCTTTGAAGGTTCAGAAACTTACATAAATAGGGGTGGTAATTTTGCAGAATGACATTTTAAAGTGTTTTTCTCTCATTTCTTTTCTACTCATATGTATGAGGGCATATCAAAATGGCCATCATGTTGCAGTGCAACCTTGAGCCCCCATCTGCTTCTGCACCCCTACCATCACGGAGCCTGATTGCTCACAGTATCTTCTTACACATGTGGATTACCTCAGTGCTCTACCCTCATTATAATCAGGACAAAATAACCAGTAATCAAGGAAAAATTTTTCATAAAATTAGTGTTCTATACCAGTGTTTTTCAACCTTGGGGTCTTGGCCTTATGTGGGGTCATCTGAAATTCAAATGGGGTCAACTGAAATGTCATTGATAAAACAAATCTACTGATAAATATATTTTTTTAACTAATTTTTTTTTTTAATTCGTTTTAAAGAATTGTATTCTTTCACTTTCATGAATATAAATCAAGTTAAAATGCACCGTATTAAAAATATCTGAGCTGGTGCATCTTGATTGATGGCATTTTGAGAACATGCTAAAAGCAAAGCAAAAAGAAAAAAAAAACCCTGAAATTTATATAGCCTAGCTTAAGGTAGCCTAGCTTAACTAACTAATTTCTGTCAAATGCGAAAGAGAAAACTGGCAGATCAATAAGAATGAACTAACAGAAGAACTGGGCAGAGCCAACAGAAACATTTCAAAACGACTTTGCTGTGTAACTTTGTGACGTGAAGTTACATTTTGCCTCCCTTATTCTCTGTATCTCCTTTCATTAATCTCAATGCGTAACCCAACCTGTGGAGACCGTCTCATCAGACAGCTCCATGTGGGTGTGCAGCTGCGGATGGACTGAACTTACAGGTTGAAAGAGTCACAAAATGCAGGTAATGACGACGGGGCTATGCCCATTTGTGGCTACATGAGACAGAAAAAGGTCAAAGCTTTGATTTTTTAGGAAGTCAGATTCAGCTGAGGTGAAGAATTTCCACCGAGTCTTTGACTGCAGGTCTTTCTGTTTTGCCTCGTTCCCTGACTTCCTGTTCAGAATGAGGCTGTACCTTGGTATTATAACCCTTGTGTAATGTCATGAATGTATGGCAACTGATGTTAGATAAACAGTTATTGGTTGCAGTACTGTAGTAATGATAATTATTTGAGACTTATCATGTTCGCAATTAATCATGATTAATCGTGATTAACCATGATACTAAATCCAATGATGAAATTACTAATATGGAAATATGTGAAATGAAAATGTAACTCCCCCTCCTTGCCCGAAATGACGTCACCGGGGCCCCACCCTGGAGCCAGACCTGGGTTTGGGGCTCGCAGGCGTGCGTCTGGTGGCCGGGTCCGGGCTCAGCCTGAATAAGCGACGTGAGCCCGCTTTCCAGTAGGCCCACAACCCGCAGGAAGGCCCACAAAGGGTTGGTGCTTTGTGATTTGGGTGGCGGTCGTGGGCAGGGACCCCAACGGCCCAATCCCTGGACAACCACTCTGGCTATGGGGACATGGAATGTCACCTCACTGGGAGGAAAAGAGCCTGAGCTTGTGCGAGAGGTTGAGCAATACCGACTAGATATAGTTGGGCTCACCTCCACGCGCAGTCTGGGCTCGGGGACCCAACTCCTTAAGAGAGGCTGGACTCTCTTCTACTCTGGAGTTGCTCGTGGTGTGAAGCGGCGTGCTGGCATAGGCTTGCTTATAGCTCCCCAGCTCACCAGTTGTGTGTTGGAGTTCTCCCCACTGAGCGAGAGGATCGCTTCTCTGTGCCTTCGGGTCAGGGATAGGTGTCTCACTGTTGTTTCGGCCTATGGGCCGTATAGCAGTGTAGAATACCCGGCCTTCTTGCAGGCACTGGGAGGGGTACTGGACAGTGCTCCTCCTGGCGGAATCTCTGGCGGAATCCCTGGTGATGTGGGCCTTCAACTCCCACCTCCATGAGAGTTTTGAACAGGTCCCGAGGGAGGCTGGAGACATTGAGCCTGAGTGGACGTATGTTCTCCACTTCCGTTGTTGGCGCGGCTGTCCGAAGCTGCGGTAAGGTCTCCGGTGCCTGTCGTTGTGGT